CGCCATTATGTTTGGATAGGATACAGTGTGCTTTGATATGGCAAGAGATTGTCAGAGTTTGAGAACTGGAATGACGAGTTCTATTAAAGAAAATACAAACACAGAACTTTTAATTTCGAAAAATTTTAAAAATTAGGCACTAATTTCATTAAAAAAAATGCACTCATTCATAATATGATTCGGTAATCAAACATCTAATCTTTTAAAATTCAAAGATCATGCATGGTATTTTAAAACCCATTAAATCACCGATTCCATCTTTAGAAAAATTTTAAATCCAGAGTAGAATGAATCACTTTGTTCGATAAAAAAAAAAAAACTCAATAAAAAAAATCAATCAAACTTTCTCAACATAAAATGAATTAATGAAATTAATCAATTTCTTTTATAGTCTATCAAACCATAGAATTGTTTGATTTCCCCCATCATCTCCGATCACTTTGATTCCACCAACATATTTCTCTAATTCCTTATTGCATGCAATTTTCAACTAATAAAAAAAACCCTAAATCATTGTTAAAAATTAAAAAAAAATCAACTTAATTTTCAAAAAAATTCTAAATCCAAAATAGAATAAATCAATTCGTTCAATAAAAAAATATTTCAATAAAAGGAGTCAATCAAACTTTCTCAACATGAAATGAATTAATGAAATTAATCAATTTCTTCTATAGTTTGTCAAAACCATAGAATTGTTTGATTTCCCCCATCATCTCCTATTAGTCCGATTCCACCAACATATTTCTAAAATTCCTTATTGCATGCAATTTTCGACTAAAAAAAAAAAAACCCCCTAAGTCATTGTTAAAAATTAAAAAAAAAATCAACTTAATCTTTAGAAAAATTCTAGATACAAAATAAAATAAATCACTTTGGTCGATAAAAAAAAACCTCAATAAAAAAAAATCAATCAAACTTTCTGAACATGAAATGAATTAATAGAATTAATCCATTTCTTTTATAGTCCGTCAAAACCACAGAATTGTTTGATTTCCTTCATCATCTCCTATCAGTCCGATTCCACCATCATATTTCTCTAATTCCTTATTGCATGCAATTTTAGACCAAGAAAGAAAAAACCCCCAAGTCATTGTTTTAAAAAAAAAAAAAGAGGATGAATTCTCAATTTAGTCCCTAAATTATTGCATAGACCCTCAATTTGGTTTTTGAACTAAAAAAATCCTTGATTTGGTCCCTAAACTAAAAAAATCCCTAATTTGATTCATACTGTTTACCAATTTACCTCAAGTTGGTCCTTCTATATAAAAACCAACTGACATGTCTTGTTATTAACATGACATGTAATCGTTAAATTACTGTTTTTCGTTATTAAGTAACAGATACATTAGCTCTTTTTTTTTTTTTTTTACAAAAAGACCAACTTGAGGCAAATTGGTAAATATTAGAGACCAAATTGGAGTTTGTACAATAGTTCAATGACCAAATCAGGGATTTAGGTTCAATGACCAAATCAGAGGTCCATATAATAGTTCAAGGACCAAATTGAGGGTTTAACAAAAAAATCAACTTAATTTTCAGAAAAATTCTAGATCTAAAATAAAATAAATCATTTCATTCTATTTAAAAAAAAAATACACACAATAAAAAGAATCAATCAAACTTTCTCAATATGAAATTAATTAATGAAATTAATCCATTTCTTCTATAATCCATTTCTTCTATAATCCATCAAAACCACAGAATTGTTTGATTTCCTCCATCATCTCCTATTAGTCTGACTCCACCAACATATTTCTCTAATTCCTTATTGCATGTAATTTTCGACTGAAAAAAAAAAAAAACCCTAAATCATTGTTAAAAATAAAAAAATAATAATTTAATCTTCAAAAAAATTCTAAATCCAAAATAGAATAAATCAATTCTTTCGATAAAAAAAAAATACTCAATAAAAGAATCAATCAAACTTTCTCAACATGAAATGAATAAATGAAATTAATCAATTTCTTCTATAGTCTGTCAAAACCATAGAATTGTTTGATTTCCTCCATCATCTCCTATCAGTCCCATTCCACCTACATATTTCTCTAATTCCTTATTGCATGCAATTTGCGACCGAGGAAAAAAAATACCCCTAAGTCATTGTTAAAAAAAAAAAAATCAACTTAATCTTCAAAAAAATTCTAGATCCAAAATATAATAAATCACTTCATTCAATAAAAAAAAAATAAAACTCAATAAAAAGAATAAATCAAGCTTTCTCAACATGAAATGAAATTAATCAATTTCTTCTATAATCGGTCAAAACCATAAAATTGTTTGATTTCCTTCATCATCGTCTATCTATCCGATTTCACCAACATATTTCTATAATTCCTATCGCATGCAATTTTCTACTAAGAAAAAACACCCTTAAGTCATTGTTAAAAAAATAATAATAATAAACTTAATACCTTTTGCTTGTTCCGTAGTCTCAAGATTACCTTCGTGGACACCAAATCAACACCATA